GTATCATTAATATACAATTACATGAGCAACATTGTGGTTACTAGATTCCCCCCATTATCAAGTCCCCACCATATACTCCATTACAGTCACTGTCCATCAGTGTAGTAAGATGCTGTAGAGTCACTATTTGTCTTCTCTGTGCTATACTGCCTTCCCCATGCCCCCTCCCCATTATGTGTGCTAATCATAATGCCCCTTATTCCCCTTATTCCTCCCTCCCTAGTCCCTTTCCCTTTGGTAACTGTTAGTCCATTCTTGGGTTCTGTGAGTCTGCTGCTGTTTTGTTCCTTCAGTTTTTCTTTGTTCTTATACTCCACATATGAGTGAAATCATTTGGTACTTGTCTCTCTCTGCCTGGCTTATTTCACTGAGCATAATACCCTCTAGCTCCATCCATGTTGTTGCAAATGGTAGGATTTGTTTTCTTCTTATGGCTGAATAATATTCCATTGTGTATATGTACCACATCTTCTTTGTCCATTCATCTACTGATGGACACTTAGGTTGCTTCCATTTCTTGGCTATTGTAAATAGTGCTGCGATAAACATAGGGGTGCATCTGTCTTTTTGAAACTGGGCTCCTGCATTCTTAGGGTAAATTCCTAGAAGTGGAATTCCTGGGTCAAATGGTATTTCTATTTTTAGTTTTTGAGGAACCTCCATACTGCTTTCCACAGTGGTTGAACTAATTTACATTCCCACCAGCCATGTAGGAGGGTTCCCCTTTCTCCACATCACAGCCAGCATTTGTTGTTGTTTGTCTTTTGGGTGTTGGCCATTCTAACTGGTGTGAGGTGGTATCTCATCTAAGCCACTCTTACTGAACACTTCCTGTGAGCTGGGCCGTCTGCTTTCTGCCAGCCTCTTTCATGAATTACCTCCCTCCCTTCAGTTTCACAATGATCCCATAAAGTCTATGGTTCGTATTTACAGATAGGTAACCCAAGACTCAGGCAGGCTGAATATCTAGCCCATAGTCACCAAAGAATTTGAGTCAAGCTCTTGAAATAATCTGGGTGTTCCCTAACCTATGGCTTCTGAAGATGCTGTGTGCACCTGAATCACTGGGACCTTATTAACATGTAGCCCCAGATTCCATGGCTGTGGAGGGGGCCTGAGATTCTGCACTTGTAACAGGCTTCCAGATGATACCAATGCTGCCTGCAGAGAGCCACATTTTGAGTAGCAAAGCCCTGAATTTGAGACTCTTTTACAGCAGCCCCAGGCTGGCAAGCCCCCTCAGTCAGTTTCCTTACCCATCTGATGGGTGCAATAGCCTTTGGTTTAAAGAGATGGAATGAGAACTGAATGTTGTAACACCTGTGAAATGCCGGGCACACAACAGGTGCTCAATAAATGTCGGGTCTTCTCCCTTGATAGGAGCTGGCATGAGTCTGGCTACATAACAGATGCTCAATAAAGCCTTGTCCAATTTATTGAGCCTAGCACTTTTCCCTAAAGCAGAGAATAAACTGCATTGTGTTTCCCCTTGGAAAGAAGCCAAACCCAATATTAATTTTTTTCTTGAACCACAGAGTTTCAGAAAGAAAGAAAAGCAGGCGGAATGGTTGCAGTCTGAAGCAAGCCTCTATAATTTCTGTAATTACAGATTGGGCACAAAACAAAGCAAGAGCATGCACAACACCATGGGTGGGAGCCAGAGGCCCACTCCTGGGCCTGCTGCTCCTCCACCTCAGCCCCTGGCTCTCCATGGTTTCCTACTCCTCCTGAGTGGGTTCTGGCCCCAGCCCTAGCCCTGGACAGTGGCAGCCCTGAGACTCTGGCCTTGGCCTTTTGGCCTCTGCCTAAATCCCCACCCCGCACAGCCACCAGTCCCTCATGCAATCGGACAAAGCGGAGATTGTCCAAAGCAGCAGCCACATGCTTCCCTTCCCCCAGCCTGCTATCTGGCCGGGGCTGGGCTGCCGACAGCCAATCCACCAGTAGGGCCTGCAGACCCCACCTCCAAAATAGATCCCCTGCCCGACTCTTTACCCCCTCTGCCCTAGCTGCTGAGGTTCAAGTCATCATCATGTCGTGCAGGACTTTGGGCCTCTTATTAGTCTCCCTGCCTCCAATTTTGTCCTGCTGCAACCTCTTCTGGGCAGCCAGAGTGAAGGTCTTAAACATAAGTCAGACCACCCCACCACTCGTACCCATCCCTTTTAGGATAAAATCTGAACTCCTTGCTGTTCTCTGAGACCATGTGTGATCTGGCCCCTGTCCACTGGACTCCAGCCACCCTAGCCTCTATGCTGTGGGTCCAACATGACTAGCTTATTCCTGCCTCAGGGCTTTTGCACTTGCTGTTCTTTCTGTTTGAAATACTGTATCACAGACAATCACATCTCTGGCTTGTAATTCAGACTGAAAAAAATTTTTGTTCAGGCCAAATAAAACAAGGCCAAGGGCCAAGTATGACCCATTTTGCCACTTCTGATCTAGACCTTACAAACGCCAGAATTTTTTTTTCTTACAAAGCTTTTTCTCATTTGGGGATTGTCAGAGGTATTCTTTCTGCTTAGTTTGGCTCCATTTCTAGTGATGGCTTTAGGACCTGGTCACAGAGCGCACACTGAAGAAGGATGGGGCATCACAGGAACATTTTCATCACCATTCTGCATTGGGTCTCTTTCTTAAACTCTTTCCCAGAGCCTGAGGGAGTCTTTTTCTGTAATACTAATCCAATCAAACATTATTGCACCTGTCACATCTCTCCAGTTGGTCCCTACGTTCCTTAGCCTGGCTTGTAAGGTCCTTCACAAATTGACCTTCGTAGCTTCAAGCTCCCTCCTTTTGTTCATGCATTTCCCTCCATCTGGGATGCCCTTCCCTCTCTGTGAGCCTGGCAAACATCTATTCAACCTTCAAAACCCAGCTCAAATGTCTCCTGATCTGGAATACTTTCTCTGGCTGTAACTCATTCTTTCTAGGCCTACAGTGTCTGATTCATACATTCTTGCAGAACTTACTACAGGGTATTATGATTAGCTGTGACCTTGTCCTTCTAGGCTGTGACCTTGTCAAGGTCAGGGACCTTGTCTTATTAATCCTTGCAACCTGAGTGTCTAACCCAGCTCCATGTACATGGAGGCCCTCAGTTAGTATTTACAAAATTAAATCTTTCTTCTGCTCCCCCTGTTAGGTCTCACTGATTCCAAATCTTGTGACCAGTTTGTAGTTCAGAATACAAATTGCTTGAAACAGTTATTCCATTGCTGTTTCACCAGGAAGTATGTGATCAGTAATAACTTGTTGAATGAGTGAGTGAATATGGAGGACTCTGCTCATGGTCTCCATTAATAGCACCCTTTTGAGCCTTGCTTCGTGGGAATTAGTTAATCGTGGCATTTTAAGGTACTAGGGGAACATATAGCCGGATTCCTGTCTACACAATATTGTCACTGGATGAGGAAGAACTGGAAATCTCTGGAAGAAGGCTTTGGAGAAATGCCCCAATCATGAGGTGGTGTGAGGTATCCCTTCCACCTGCTCCACCAGCAGGTAAAGGTGGGCCAGCCAGGAGGACATGTGTGGTTTTCCCTCAGCAGGCCTACAGAGCCCTCAACCCTGAGCAGCCCGTGCCTGTGCAAGGCCCAGGAGCCTGTTTCAGGACAGGGGAAGTAACAGTGCTGAAAGGTTGCTTCTGCTTTTGAGATCCTTAATGTTCTAGAAAGACAGAGGGTCCCTTTGCCGTGCACTTGCACATTCCTGTTCTTTCTGTGTGCTGTGTTTCTTGAAAGAGGGAAACCACAGGTTGACCAGCTCGCGTCAGGAACTAAACTTCCCAATCAGCTTCTCGAAGCACTGTCTTTCAGCATTGGGGCCCAGGCATTTTCACTAAAGGGGGTCCCTTTTTCATTTTCTTCCCATCTGTTAGATGTTTTGGGCTTTTTTTTAAACCAAACATTATTACAGAGTAATTATTTTATTAACCAAACACAGAAATGTACCATTCCCAGCTTCTAACTGGTTCAAGGTGATCAGCTAGATTTCCTTGAGTTGGTATAATGAAAGCTCAAAGCAAAGGAGACTCTACATTTTTATTAGCTGGTGTTCCCCGTGGAGGCTGAAAGAATGCTTTCCATTGAGGTTCTGAAAATGTTTGAATGACACTGCAGGGCCTGAAGAAGCCTTTGATAAATGTGGCTGCCATCATCACCACCACCACCACCATACACCCTTCTGGGGAGCTGTGAACACCAGATTAGGAACCATGATCCATACACAGATGGTAATAATCACAGTGATAATAGTGGCAGAGATTTCCTTAGCCTCACTACTGAGCCAGGCATTCTTTCACATGCTTCCCATGCATGATCTCAGTCAATTTTCACCACAACCCTATGAGACAGGTATTATTATTGGCTCCCTACTTTACAGATGAAAGTCAAAAAGGGAAAGTAACTTCCCCAGTATTAGTAATCATCAGAGTGAGCCACGGGTCTGTCTCATTAACATTGGGGTGGTCTTGCTGCCCTGCAAGTCAAAGGACCTTCTCATTGTGAATCCTCAAAGAAGCATCAGTTATATTAATTTGTGCCTGTTGTTGTTGATCCTCATGCATTGCACATCTTATAAGAGGAAAATTGCTTATGGTTTTGTGGCTCTTCATAGGGCAGTTAACAGGCTGTTTCCCTGTTATATTAAAGTATATAAAATTCCCTGAATATATAAAGTATATTTCCAATATACTTTCCCATATTTGGGAGATTGTGTGTTTGTCTTCCTCATGCAGAGTCCTCCAGAGCAGCCACCGGCTCTGACCTCTGGCCTGGCACTAGGAAGTGCTCAGTATACTCGTGGGGAAGACACTGGAATGAACTTTCTAGTGAACTGGAACTGTTCTTCCTGACCATCTGACCATCCTCCATCGTGATGTTGAATGGTTTCTTCAAGGACATACATACCGAGTTTGCCCTGTTAAACACACAATGCCTTCTTGCCTGCTTGCTGGGAGTGGCCAGAGCTGCATCTGGCTCACTTTCTCTTTCTTCTAGAATGGTGTCGAATGATCCTGTGGCCTGCCTCAAAATCCCAGTAGATTCTGGAATTTGGTTTGAATCTCCATGATCATCAACAAGGAAATCCAGAGCAGAGGCCACAGGTCACAGGCCTTCCTGAGAACTTGGTTAAGTGGTAAGAGTGTGTACAGAGTTTGAGATTGTAGCAGGAATTCCATGAGCCAATGTAAGCAAAAACAGAATTTATTTGATGACTATGGAGATGCTTTTTAAGCTCTAAGATTGAGAACATAGCCAGTCTTAAGAAAGCCTGGAACAGCAAAGAATGCTTTCAGACTCTCTTCATCTTTTCATCTCTGACTTCCGTCCTCCTCAGCAGTGCTCTCTGCTACTCTGAGTACAAGGTGGCAGCAGATGGCTGCCTCAGAGTTCCTAAGTTGCTGGAGATAGTGGCCATGTTTCTCAGTCTCTTGCCAAAAATCCGAGGGAAGGAGCTTTGATTGGCTAGCTAGGGTCAGGTGATCGGCCCTAGTCCCAGGTGATTGGATCCTTTTGAACAGACATGGTGCCTGCAGCCCTCAAGGGTAGATCATGGGGGCAGTTCAAAGCATCGTTGATGGTTAATGGCTGACTCCCCCAAAAGGGATTCCATTTTAGTCTCCCTGCTTTCCTGAGGCTACTCACTCCCTGCATATCCCTACTCCCTGATAGACCACAGAGTCAGCTGCCTGCTGCCATTCCTGACAACGGGAGGCAGTCACCCTTCCTGAGTCTAGTGTTCCTTGTGACAGTGCTGTGCCCAGGCCAGGTTCTAAATGGACATCCTAGACAAACCTGTGGGTCATCCTTGAGAGCAAGAAGCATGCTTGGCAGTAAAGTTCAAACTGTCCGAAGATGGTCTAGTATTCCGTGAACCAGAGGAAGAGATAATATTGTTTGGTAATGGCGACTGCCTGCAAGGGGCTGGAGGGCGAGTGCACAGCAAACAGGGATCCCCCAGCAGGGCAGAGCTGAAGGGAAGAGGCTGCTGGGGCAGGGGCTGCGCTTGGCTTTGGCTCAGCTTCTGCATCTGCGAGTCCACAGACCGCTGCTTCCCACATTCCCGTTTGCCCGGAGGCTTCCATAAGTTTATTCTGTGTTATTTTAGAAATTTAAAAGTGTTTTGTAGGAATTTAGAAGTGTGTTGTCTTTTCATTTTTTGTAGAAACTTGGAAATAATTACAGAAATCCAGAAAAGTGCAAAAAATAAGACAAAAATCACTTATCAGTGAATCATTGTGAACATCTTACGGTATATCCTGCAGTGTCTGAGGCATTTTTTAATGAACAGATTGGGGTGGGGTGTAAAAATAGGATCATACTAAATGAACAGTTTTGAAATCTGCTTTTCTCATTCCACAAAACAAGGTGCTGTCTCCCATGTTTTCATATGATCCTTTACAACATTTCCACAAGTTTGGATGGAGGAAAAAAATATCAGCTACATTTATTGGCCCCCAGAATTTCTGAATCCCCTCTTAATTTCTCTTTCTGATAAAATTATGGGATGTCTTCCTCACATTGTCCTCATGTGCACCCACACACACTGCACTGAGGACAGGGGGCCCTGCTTCTGCATGTCCCCAGCGCCCCATGGGCCAGCACCACACTGCATGGACTTACTGTGGTCCCCCTGGCTGGGTGGCTCTGCAGGACTTGTACACAGCATCGATGCTGGCTGGCTTCCTGCATCCTACTGCTGTGTGCCCAGCTGCCCTCTAGTTGCCTCCTGCCCATTCACTGTCATCCCTCTGCTTTGCAGGCTCTCACTCAGGGATTGTAGAGAGAGCTGCTCTCAAGCTGACCCACCACAGAAAATCATCAGGTAACATCAACAACCAAAATAGTAACCTTTTTTGGAGTTCTCTTTCTAAACCCATCAGGTGAAATGCACTCTTCCAGCCATTAAAGTTCACTTTCACCACAATTCTACAAACCAGATAGGACTAGCTCCATTGTATAAGATGAGGGACCTGAGACTAGGTCACTCAGCTGTTAGAAGGTAGACTGGAGATTTGAACCCAGGAGCTCTGAGTACAGTTTCAAACACTGTCTTCTACCCCATGCTGCCTCTGGAAACAAAGAGGTAAGAAGAGTATAGGTAGAATATCTTGGGGTGATGAGGGTCAGAGAGGTCATCAACATTCCTTCCTCGACTGAGGCCTGGTATAAGAATCTCCTTTTGCAGAATTTGTTAAATGTGCAGATTTAGAACTTGTCTACTAGAGATTCTGATGTGGCCTGTAGGGCTTTGGAATCTCTGTCCAGATAGAGCTTCCTAAATGACTTGGAAACACAGCCAGGCTTGGGAACTGCTAATGAAATAGTAACAAGTCCCCACCATTTACCAGACACAAGGGTGCCACACTGAATAAGTAAAGAGTAACAACCTGATGACATCCTTGATTTAAAAATAGGGAGAATGGGGTCCAGAGAGGTTAAGAAGTTTACTCAAAGTGACACAGCTTGAATGTTGGTAAAGAGGATTTTGATCATGATCAGAGTCTGCTCATATATATATACCGCCTTCACCAACAACCTGCAGCCAGGCCACCCCTCTATTCAGTCCCAAGTTAAGCCTCTCCATTGCTTATGTTGGCCATGCCTCTATGGTCTCAGGGAGTAAAAAATATCTGATTGCTTCCCAGGAGGCAAAGATGAGGAGCACTTAATATTTCTGTCTGGAAGTTTAGTCTCCTTGGGTTCCTCTGAATAGTATATGTAACAAAGCACACATGATATGGATATGAGTTGAAGTTAGTCCAGGAGACATCAGAAGACTACATATTCCCACTCAGGCTTCGGAAACATAAGGGACCTTCTTTTTTATAGGAACAGGGACTGGCAGGAGAGAGAACTTATGGGAGAGGCTTCTTGGGTGCCTAGTTTGCTTGTGGGTTATTTTATTTTTGTTATTTTGGGGCAACTCCAAGAGCTTTGCACCCTTCTGTGCCTGTCACACTGCGCCTCTGTTCTCCTAGGGTGACCTTGAGCTGCAAAGCTGCTGTCCACGTGGACTGGGGCCAACATTGCACGTCCATCTGCCTGGACCCCTGTGTCCAAACTCCGAGACATGGCGACCAATGGCAGCAAGGTGGCTGATGGGCAGATCTCCACGGAGGTCAGTGAGGCCCCTGTGGCCAATGACAAGCCCAAAACCCTGGTGGTCAAGGTGCAGAAGAAGGCAGCGGATCTTCCAGACCGGGACACATGGAAGGGCCGCTTCGACTTTCTCATGTCCTGCGTGGGCTATGCCATCGGCCTGGGCAATGTCTGGAGATTCCCCTATCTCTGCGGAAAAAACGGTGGTGGTAGGTGCTGGCCTGGCAACCTCCCAGCTGCGTCCGGGCCCCATGGGGAGTGTTCCACTTAGGTGTTTTCTGGAGTTTAGGGGGAAAGGTCCCCTAAACACTCCAAAGGGAGCACCAGGTCCATTTCCTATTGTCTTTTTACCAAAGGATTCCCAAAAGGCAGTTGTCCTTTATGATATCAGGGAGTTCACCTCTTCATTTTGCAAAGTACAGGGGATATGGTTTGTACAAAGAGCACCCTTGAACCTTAGTTTGGCTGTGGGTGCTGTTTTTGAGGCAGAGGGTAAGGAAATCATGGCTGGGAACCCAGAGTGCCCTGCTGTGACACTCCCTCTGACCAGGGCCTCTCCAAAGCTTTGGGGCCACAGGCTTCTCTCTTCTCAACTCCACAGGGGCCTTCCTGATTCCCTATTTCCTGACACTCATCTTTGCGGGCGTCCCACTGTTCCTTCTGGAGTGCTCCCTGGGCCAGTACACATCCATTGGGGGCCTCGGGGTGTGGAAGCTGGCCCCCATGTTCAAGGGTAAGTCTGCAGAGTAGGGCCCATGGGTCATCTCCTGCCCACATAACTGTGGTGAAGCCAGGGCCTTCCCAAAGCCCCCATACCCTGTGGAGAGAGGAAACTGCTCACTTCACATCTGAGCAGAGAGGAGCCCTTGCAAGGGGCCAGGTGACAGATGACCACATGGGCTGGAATCTGGGGCAGCGGAGCTGGAAAGGAGCCCCTGACGCAGAGGCCCTTGCACAACATCACTCCCGCTGCCCTCTAAGCTCATTTCTCCAGCAAGGGCTGGGTAGACTTTCTTCAGTTTCTTGCTCAGTGCCTGACAGCCACTCAAATGGGCATGTGGAGATGCACGCTTGCCTGGCAAGCCGAGACCCCAGCCTTCCCTGCAACCAGCCTGGGCTGGATCCCAGACGCAAGTCCTGGCTCCCTGCCTTGCCAGATGTCTGTGACCCTAGCTAAGTCCCTGCCTCTCTCTTTGCTTCAGAGGCTTTAATAATGCCTATCTCCAAGGTCTTGTGAGATTGTAGATGTCCTGGACGATAAGAGCAGTGATGCTCACTGGGACAGTTATAACTCTATTAAATGCGTGTCATGGTGGTGTGTCTGCTCCCAGGTGTGGGCCTCGCTGCTGCTGTGCTGTCATTTTGGCTGAATATCTACTACATCGTCATCATCTCCTGGGCCATCTACTACCTGTACAATTCCTTCACCACGGTGAGTGCCCCCCTGGAAGGAGCCAGACCCAGAGTCCACCCTCCGTGGCAGGGCTGTTCCTACAGGCAGGGGGTTGCTTTGTCTTCAGTAGCTCTTGTTTCCTCACAAGTCATGGCACCTGCTCTGGGCCAGGCAGTTCATGGGGGCTGACATCCCATCCTCATGATGCCCCTCTAAGGGGAGCACTTTAGTTCATTTCATATGGACCCATATGGCCTAGGTTCAAATCCTGAACCTAGTGTATGCCAGCTGTGCAACTTCAGGGAAGAGACTTAACCTCTCTGAGCCAGAGTGTCCACATTTATAAAATGGCACAGAACAGGCACTAAGTGTTTGCTGTCAACATCAGTGTGCAGAAGGTGAGACCTCTTACCCAGGGTCAAATAACTAGGAAGCAGTCCCTGGATAAAGCCACAAGATGTTATGGTGCAGCTTGGGAAGCTGGTTTTCAGAGTGAAAGTTTGAGATTCAAATTCCAGCCCTGACACTTGGGAGCTGTGTAATCTCTAGGAAGTTACTCTGCCTCTCTCTGATCTCTAAAATGGGGATCTCAGTGTGACATGCATCCAGAAAACGTTGGGAAGGGGAGCTGAGATAATGGCTTAAAGAGGCCCAGCAGACCTTAAGGATGAACGGTGCACATTGGGACCACTGTTGCCAGCCCCAGGGACTCAGTGGGGGTGGTCTGCCACTGTGTCTTTGCAGGCACTGCCGTGGAAACAGTGTGACAATCCCTGGAACACAGATCGCTGCTTCTCCAACTACAGCATCATCAACACCACCACCATGACCAGTGCTGTGGTAGAATTTTGGGAGTAAGTGTGGGACCATCAGTGGTGGGGGTGCATACCAGCCGGGCCCGCAGGAGGCAGAGGCACCCTCAAAAGGGAGCTGAAAGAGTTAGGTGAAGGCTGTTTGTGGAGATGTGAGTGGGGCTGAGGGAGCCATGAGGGAGGGGGGAGCCCTTTCCTCCCCCAGAAAGAGCTGGACCATAGATGGGGCCACTAGACACAGGCTATGACCTATGGTTGAGAAACCCAGCTTGAGACAAAGCCATGGTCCTGGGGGGAGAATATAAATTCCCCGCCCTGTCTCTTCTCCTGCCCTCTGAGCTCCTGCCATTGGTCAAATCTAGCTGGAAGCCAGAGGGCGCGGGAGCCAGTGGTGTCGCCATAGTCAGCCTCCTGGGGCTCAGAGCAGAGAGGAGAGGGGTGGAGAGTGAGCCAACAGAGGGGAATCACTAGCACTGGCCAGGAAGAATTGCCAGGACTTGAAAAACCAGTCCAGTCACCCTTGAAACCCAGAGTCATCAGAACAAAGACACACACCCACACTGTCCATAGTGAAGGCCATGCTCATGTTTCTTCAGAGAAGCACATCATAGAAGATGTGTGCTGGGAACATGGATTTTATAAAACAAGGTCCTAGGACCCAAATCTCTTTGGCATGAAAGACCCATCTGTGCTGGACAGCTCAGAAGGGCCTGGGAGCAACCTGGAAAGTCGCACTGCACCTTGGATAGGCTGCCAGGAGGAGCTGTTCTCAGGAGGTGTCAGAACATGTGACACTGCTCCGATCTCTGTGCTGAGTGTCCTTGGCGAAGCTGTCTCCGTGCAAATAAAAATCAGAGTCTGCTCTAGCTAGTGGTCTTCCCTACATCTTGCATATACAAATCTCTTGCACCTGCTCAGGCTTTTCATTCATTTATTCAGTACATATTTTGAGCATCTACTATGTGTCAGCCTGGTTAGAGACATGGCTGAGCAAATAGGCACTGGCTACCCCAGATGACCAGTGGCAAGAGGAGGGATGCACGGGAGACTGGGGGGCCCAGGGAGGTGCCTGGACCAGCCCAGGTGAGCAGTGGCATCTAAGGATGAAAAACAATGTAGGGAAGACAGCTGTTGGCAGAAGAAGGGGCATTCGGGCAGTCTGGAGGTGGGTGAGAGCAAGTGGGGCAGGAATGAAGGGACTTGGGGAGCCAACACTAGAGAAAGAAGCAGGGCCCAGCTTAGAAAGGCTTTGCAAGGTGGGCCTGGGCAATCGGGGCTTCATTCTGAGAACAAGAGGGAGCTATTCACTGCAGGATTTTAAGCAGGAGAGTGAAATGATCAAACTTGTAATTGAGAAGGATCCCTTGCGGCAGGAGGAGGGACCTAGCAAAGGTGGAGGGGGTGTTCCTGCTGGGAGGCTGTAGCAGCCATATAGTTGAAAAATAATGGCAGTTGAACTAAGGCACTGCAGGTCCCTGGAGCAAACAGCACTTTCTTCTGATGAGCATTATGGGCTTCACTGTCCCCAACCAGCTCTTGAATCTCAGTGATCACGGAGGTCAGCACAGTCACAGTGAAGTATGTCACCTGTGGCCACACCCTGGACACCCACTGGTCATCCCAGATCCCACCGACCCCCGTGACTTTTTCCTCCACTCTTCTACCAGGCGGAACATGCATCAGATGACAGATGGGCTAGACAAGCCAGGTCAGATCCGCTGGCCTCTGGCCATCACCCTGGCCATTGCCTGGATCCTTGTGTATTTCTGTATCTGGAAGGGTGTTGGCTGGACTGGAAAGGTAAGGAATGTGCACAGTGGGGACTGGAGGGGAACAGGTCTACAAAGGGATCTCTGTCCTGGGCAAGGAGTCTCCACCCCCAGATCCTGGCATCTCTCTCTGTCTCAGTTTTCTTTCCTGTAAAATGGGAATAATAGCATTCCCTACCTTCTTGGGCAGTTTTGAGGATTAAACTAAATAAGTCAGGCAGCCACATGGTGCCAGGGGCATGGTAAGTCCCTTGAGATTCCTCTGGCTCTGAGAAAGCCATCACAGAACAGGCTAAGTGTTGCTCAAGGACTATTGAACAAACTGTCCCTAGGTATCTACTCCATACCAAGCCTTGTTCTAGTGTGATGTGGAGAGGAATGCTCCACATCCCAGCCTTTGAGGAGCAACAGATGGATCAGTGAATAGTTCAGTACTCAGGCTCTGTTTTCAAATTGTCCTGAGTTCAATCCCAACTTGACTGTTTCCTTGGCTGTGTGGCCTCAGGCAAGTCACGTCACCTCTGTGAAACTCAGTTTCTCCTCTGTAACCAACAGGGCTTATCTGTTGGTTTGCTACAAGACTCAAATGGGATAGTTATTTTGTAAAGCACTCAGCAACTGGCAAGAGCAGTGGTGTACATCTTTGTTATTATCAGCAAGGGCAGAGCCAGGTTAAGTTGGGGTGTCCATTCTGGGGACATCTGGGGAGCTTGCCAATCAAATTGTATGGGAGGGAGACTGGCCTCATTCCCACCCTTCCCCGTCAAGCCCCACCCCAAGAATCCAAAGACAGAGATGGCTGAGTCTCTCATGGGCCCTGGCCCCAGGGAAACTCAGAGGGCAACTGTGTTGTCTGAAGTCTTTCAACAAGTAAGGGGAAGAAGGGACTTGACTGAATAAAGCTGGAAGTAGGGAGGTCTTTACTACCCAAGAGGCTAACATGAGCAAAAGACAGCCTTAATGAATGTCACACTTGGGCCTGGGGACAGCGGATGAAAAGCTGCCCTATTTCACTCTGGTGGGAACTTGGGGACCTCCAGGTTTTCAGATCCAGAGCTGGTATCAAAACATCCCTGATCTCTCCCTGGGATGGGCAGGCAGAAGGAGGGTACAGGTGTCTCCCAGCCCAGCTTTAAGAAGCGGAAGAATGTAGGGCCTAAGTTCTTTGGAAGAGACAGAGCCAAGCTTGAATCTCAGTCCCCTGGTTCCTATCTGTGTGCAAGTCATTTCACCTCTCTGAGCCTCAGTTCGCCATGGAGCCTCAATGGGCACATGATAGTACTTTACAGGGCTGTCATAAAGACTGAGGGAGATGATCTATGCAGACTGTATAGCATATGCCTAGTATCTAGGAGTCCCCCAGTACATGTGTCAGTTATCTTTTGAGTGAGCCAATCAATCCATCAATGAGCACTGACTACCTGCTGTTTACCTGGCTGTTTACCTGAGCATGGAAGACACATTGAAGTGCAAGACCTAAGCAATATATATTAAGCATGTTGTATGTCTTCATACAACTGACTTTTCTGAGTAGCAAGGTTGATTGTACCCATTTTCCAGACAAGAAAAGGTGAGGCTCAGAGAAAAATAAGAAATTGACCCAATGACTTACAGCTTATAGGTGATCCAGATGATTTTGAATTCCTTTCTCCTAATGCCACATACAGTGGTTTTTCTAGTAGATTGTGGCTGGCTTTTCTAAACCTGAAGAATCTTAGAATCAAGTCAGAGAGGTGAAACCAACCTAGAGAATAATTCATGCAGACCAAAAAATAGGGTCTCATCAGACTCTTGAGATACAGAGTCCATTGAACTTGAAAATTTCTCTTTCACACTAGGGAGTAAAGACATGTAGTTTCAGATGATGATATTAGTCTTTTGATTTTAATTTGGTGAAAAATAATTTTTAAAATGATTATACCCATTGCAGGCACCTTTGTGGGGAAGGTGTCATCTTTAATGCCAGACAAAGTGCAGTTTCTGGCAGGTAATTAGGCAATATGAATCAAAAACCTTTAAGAGGTTTATTCCATTTTACTCAGTAATTCCACTTCCAGAAATTTACCCCCAAAATGGTATAATAATTTTGTAGATAAAAGTTTCATATACAGAGGTGTCCAATGTAGTAGTATTGAGATCCACATAAAATTGGAAGCAACCTGAATGGCTTATAGTAGGGGAAACTTTAAAAAGGATGGTAAACCTCCTGAGGGACTATTTTGTATAATTAAAAATCACATTTTTTAATAAAACAAGAAACAAAGCTATATGTACTGTGTGTTTTTAACTTTAAACATGTTAAGTGAAAAGACAAATACACATTTAAGCCTCATTTTGTGAGAAAAACTGATCATATATGCAAAGGGAAGTCTCAAAAGACTTTCTCAAGACATCCACACATTTATGTATTTTTCAGGCATTTATTGAGTGTCTACTATATACCATGAACTTGTTCTAGGCACTGGGAAAGCAAGTGAACAAGACAAGCCCTTTCCCTCCACATCACTTAAATTCTAGTGGCTGCTGAAAGACGCTTAAGTTGTGTGTGTGTGGGTGTGTGTGTATGTGTGTTCCATACATTTTAAAATTTTCCTGCCACCACATTTTACTTGAGTAATTTAGCCAGAGTCAAAAAGTAAGAGGGTTACAGGAAGAGAAAACAGGTGCTGAGCTGGTTGGTTCAGACTCCAAGGAGGGGATTCAGGAAAGTTGCCAATAAGAGCAGTTCAAGAACTCAGGAAGGCTTCCTGAAGGAAGAGAAATTGAACCCAAGCCCAGAGCCGGACAGATATATGATGTACATGGGTGGGGGAGGGGAAATCATAGGTGCACAGGAGGGGGCATGACAGTGTCACCCACTTTCTTCCCAGGTGGTGTACTTCTCGGCCACATATCCCTACATCATGCTGATCATCCTGTTCTTCCGCGGAGTGACCCTGCCGGGGGCCAAGGAGGGCATCCTCTTCTACATCACGCCCAACTTCCGCAAGCTGTCTGACTCCGAGGTGAGCAGCCCTCCCCACCCTGGTCCTGGAGGGACTGTTGCCATGGACAGCGAGTTAGCCCTAGTCAAAGGCCCTGTGGTGCTGTGGCTGTGATTATAGTTTTGCCTGTTTTTTGATTATTCTGCCTGTAGGTGTGGCTGGATGCAGCTACCCAGATCTTCTTCTCCTACGGGCTGGGCTTAGGATCTCTGATTGCTCTAGGAAGCTACAACTCTTTCCACAACAACGTTTACAGGTGCCTGAGAGTTGGGATCACTCCCGCACGGCTATACCCCACCTTTCCCATTCCCCCGCCCTCAGCCAGTCCCTGTGGTCTCTCCTCTGCTTCCATTCCTTCCCTGGGAGTGGGGCTGGGAGAAACACTTGTCCTGAGTGCCGCTCTCAGGCACCCTCTTCTGTCCCTGCCCCTTGCCCACCACTGCCCACTAGCTCACCTTCCTGCCAACACACTCACTGACACCGCTCTGTCCTCAACAGGGACTCCATCATTGTCTGCTGCATCAATTCATGCACCAGCATGTTCGCAGGATTTGTCATCTTCTCCATTGTGGGCTTCATGGCCCATGTCACCAAGAGGTCCATTGCTGATGTGGCGGCCTCAGGTCAGCATGGCCCTGTGGAGGGCCAGGGCTCCTGGGGAGGGAAGGGCTAATGGCGCCAGCGTTTGTGCGCATCCTCACTGTCACCACCACTGTGAGCATCACGGTGTACCAGGCAGTGCACTGAACATTTTGGGCAGACCATATCCCTGAATCTTCCCAAAACTGGTGTCAATGGTCTTGTTATCCCCATTTCATAGGTGGGGAAATGGGCTCACAGGCCACTTCCATAGAGTTAGGAAAGTGGTGGAACTGGAGTTGAGCACAGACATGGCTGATTGCAAAGCCCAGGCTGTCTCTTTTACTGGCACTTCCAACATCATCCTGACTTTTGCAGAGAGGAGACCCAGTCTTGCCCCCTCAGATATGAGCTTTGATTCAACTCAGACATGCTCACCACCATGACAAAAAGTGCCCACTTCCAAAAATGTTCTCACCAAGCAGGCTGTGCCCACTCTGCTCGCCACATGGTCATCAGTGCCTCGGGATCCAAGGAGAAGCCCAGGCACCTCCCACCCCTTCTCTGCTGAGCCAGGGAGTCAGCAGACATCAGCGGCCCCGTGCTCACAGCAGAGGCCCTGAGGTTCAGGGAGGTAACATGACTTGTCCCTTCCCTGTCACGGAGGACTGCACTGGCATGCGGAAAGGAGCCTTCTCCACTGAGGTCCTCATCTCCCCTACAAAGGCCATCTTGTTTCTGTGAACTCCCCAGCCACCCACCTCTTTTCAGACCCAGGGAAGTCACAATCTCTTTCTTTCTCCTTCGAAGGTTTTCCCTGATTCTTGAATTTGCCCCACCCAGGCACTCAAACACAGCGTGTCCCACATTGACCTCCTCAAACCTGCTCCCTCCCTGTGCTCCCTGTTGCAGCAAAGGGCCTGCCATCTGGTGCCCAGGCTAGAGACCCAGCATCACCCTGGACCCTTCCTTTACCTTCACTCCACAGACCAACCAACAGCAGGCCCTGCCCAGTCTGCCTCCCAAGTGTCTCTCCATCCAGCCACCTCTCTGCACCTGCTTTGTCCCCACCGCTGGCCCACCCACTGCACCCCCTCATCCCGTTGCACTGGGCCCCTGCCTCTGGACCCAACCCTCCTGCCTCCTTGCCACACACTCTGTTTCCTTTCCTGGAAAAGGGGCTGACAACACTCCCCACAAAGTTACTCCAAAGACAAAATGAAATAAAGCTTAGAAAGTGGGTGGTGTGCTGGCTGTGCTGGAGGTGCTCAGTCCCTTTATCTCCTTTTTCTTTGTTGCCTCCTCTTCACAGGCCCAGGACTGGCGTTCCTGGCATACCCGGAGGCGGTGACCCAGCTGCCCATCTCTCCCCTCTGGGCCATCCTCTTCTTCTCCATGCTGCTGATGCTGGGCATTGACAGCCAGGTGGGGGTGCTCCCCCACCCCCCACCCTCATCCCTGCATCTCGAGGAGCCCTCAGCTACCTTGTCAAGCCAGGAGAGGAGGCCATTGTCCTAGGTGCCTGAGAAGACGGCCAAAAGTTTCAGACCCGTAGGATGTTCCACCAACTGAGACTACAGGGATCAGCTCAGACACCTTCCCCATTTCCCAGTCAGAGAAACCAATGCCCAGAGGATAGGGACTGTGCTGAGGTTGCAAAGGGAGGCAGAGACAGAGGCAGAATCAGTCCCGGATCCCAGGGCTTTCCTGGCCTTACTCTCCTGATGTTGCTGGGTCCCCTCATTCTTGCCCCAGAGAGTCAGGCTTTGGGTGGTTTGGGGCTGGGGCTTGCTGCACATGACTGACCTCTGTTTCCCCTTTAGTTTTGCACTGTGGAGGGCTTTATCACAGCCCTGGTGGATGAGTACCCCAGACTCCTCCGCAACCGAAGGGAGCTCTTCATCGCTGCTGTCTGCATCATCTCCTACCTGATCGGCCTCTCTAACATCACCCAGGTGGGCTCAGTCAGGCCCTGGCACACCTCGGGCATTGCCTGTGCTGGGACCACTCCCAGGTCCTCTTTGCCCCAGCCTCCTGCTAGCCTGCCTTTTGTCTGTTCATTGAGCACCATCTCTGTGTCAAGCCCTGCACACACAGCAGTGAGTCAGATGGGGTCCCTGCCCTCCAGGGTCTCACAGGCTGGTGGGGGACACAGACACTGAGCTAGAAATGAGAAAACACAGCTAGAGAATACAACCTCTAATCTAGCCACCAGGGACTGCTTCCTGGAGAAGGGGATATCGGGGCTGAGTTTTGAAAGACTCAAAAAAATTAACTGGAGAATTAAGTTAGAGTTGAGCCTTTAAAGTTGACCCTGCCCCTTCCTCTCATTCCCACTTGCTTTTCTATCAATATTAATGAACAATGCTCTGTTCATTCAAGGCCCCCCTAGTCTAGTCAGAAAGCATGCACATAACTTGTACAATAAATATAAATGATCCTAAAGCCACCCCTGGGTCTACATAAAGATTGGACCAGAATTATTGTTTATCCATTCCTTCACAGTTGCCGAACACTTACTGTGGTCCTGGCATGACACTGGAGAATCAACAGTTAACATCTTGGTACTTATATTTGGTGGAGAAGACTGCCATACAAATTAGATTTCAGGGAGCGCCATGAGGCAAACAGGGTAGTGGAACAGAATAACCACTCAATATCCCAGAGAATAACGAGGGACATTGAGAGTGGTAGGGGTAAAGGGATGCCACCTCCCACAGAGTGGTCACGAGAGGTCCCTCTTAGGAAGTGACAGTTGAACTGAGACTCAAATGAGGAGAAAGAAATAGGGGAAGAAAACAGCATGTACAAAGGCCCTGAGGTAGGATTGGACTTGAAAGAAGGCAGAAAGAAGGCCGGTGTTGGAGGAGCAGGAAGAGTATGGGATTGTATCAGCAATACAAAGATAGATCATGCAGGACCTTGCAAGCCAAAGCATTTGGATTTTGTTTTATTTTATTCTATAGCTCTGTACTTATTTATGTGGTATATTTATGTCTTATTTAAGCCATGGTCGGTTTGCATGACTGATGATTTAAAGCTATGGAAAGATCGCTCTGGTGACCAAGTCCTCTTTCTATCTCCCAGGCTCCTCAGAAATGGGGCATTTCTGTCCTTCTCCTAGACATTCTCTTCCCATTTCCTACGGGGTCAATGGCCTCTCACAGTCACTAGACCCTCAGTGCTTCCGCTCATCTACTGTGAAGCCTTCTTGCTGCAATATAGCCTGAACTCAGCCTTGTCAGGCCCCAAAGCCCGTGTTGACAATGAACTGAATCCTGGGCCCACTCTCACTGCGTTTCCTCTTGCAGGGGGGCATTTATGTCTTCAAACTTTTTGATTACTACTCTGCCAGTGGCATGAGCCTGCTGTTCCTCGTGTTCTTTGAATGTGTCTCCATTTCCTGGTTTTACGGTGAGCATCAGCCCCTTCTCCCTTCCTCATTCATTCATTCATTCATTCATTTCTTCAGTCATCATTCAACAAATATAAGAAAACACCATACATTAGTTTATTTAGTCCTCACAACAATTGATGAAGTTAGCACAGGAGTTCCCATGTTTACAAAATACCCTAAGAAAAATTAAGTGAATGACAGCCAAAATCTCCTCATAAATGTTGGGATACAGAGGGTGGTTGGAGATTTTATCTGGAAAAGCAAAACCAAAACTACAAAAAAAAAAAAAAAGTTCTAGAGTTAAATATTTAACAAAAGCAATATTTAAAAGTATGTGTACTATAGCTATAATTAAAAGTATATATGATCTTAGAACAGAGTGAAGGAAACATAGTCAAATGGCTGTCCTTCCCTGCGCTCTGGTTATCACAGCACAATGATGTGTTTGAAGTGTGCTCCAGGGTCCCTCTTAGTCCTTGATATTCGTTGTATCTTCTTTGCTACTTCCCCCTCCTTCTTTCATCCCTTCTCTCTAGCTGGTGAAATGCCATCAGATTCTCACTGGCCTGTTTCTTTGCTTATAATTTGAGCATGCCTGATGTCACTCTCGTAAACTTCATGACATCTGTTAATTTTGTGAGATTTGCAGTTGTTGGCAATCTGTTGCCAGTTTCTTACAGCATCAAATCCTCAGGGAAAAACCACCCCTGTCCTGCAAAGCTTTGAAGGAATGGCTGGGAGAGATGTTGAGTCGGAGGGACATTGAGAGTGGTGGAGACCCATAAATGTATCCTTTGGTTGGTAGATTATTTTCATATTAAAGTGACTTGCTTTCCCACATAGCCCACTTGTTCTGGGGATTTAGTTATTGAATACTTGGAAAATGAAGATCCTCCCCATCACAAAAGCATTAGTCCTATGTTACAGACAAGGAAACTGAGGCTCAGAGAGGTTAGGTGACTTGCCTATGGCAAGACTGTGATAAAATGACAGGGGGGAGGGCTCTGTGCCCACGCTCTCCACAGCTCACCCTCCCTCCTGTTCTTGCTCCAAATGTCACAGGTGTCAACCGGTTCTATGACAACATCCAAGAGATGGTTGGCTCCAGGCCCTGCATCTGGTGGAAACTCTGCTGGTCTTTCTTCACCCCAATCATTGTGGCGGTAAGGACAGGGTTTGACCAGCCCAATGAGGATGAGACCAGACCAGGCCATGGGGAGATGCAGGTCTAGATAGAAACTTCTGAGGGCAAAGGCAGTAGAAAAAGCCCCCAAGCCCCTGTTCCCTAATAATGCTATTCCCTTCTGTTTGTATTCCATCATCCTCACAAACATTGGCACAAAAGGCATGATTGTCCTGTTTTGTTGCTGAGGGGCCTGGGGCTCACCCAGCTAGCGTCACCCGGCTAGTGGGTGCTGCATTCACACCAGGAGCACCTGATCCTGAAGCCCAAACTGTTCACACAGGGAGGCCTCTTGTTCTCAGCATCCTTCATTCCTTCTGGCAAGAGGATGGCGAGAGGAAGCCGAGGCATAAGCAGGCCTGGGAGGGGCCTGCCCCGGGTTGTTGGAGGGGGGCCGGGCCACTGCCTGTGCTGCTTCCTGTAGAAGGGCAGACAGTTGATGACCACTGGGGGCTTTTTCTGCTTGCTAAGCTGCATTTGGAGGAAGGGATGCCTTTTTTTGTTGGTCCTCCCAGAGAAGCCACTGTTGCTACTGGTCCTCCCAGAAAAGACACCTTCATCATATTGCTCTCCCAGAAGGGGTGCTGTCTTTGCTGTTTTCTATTGGTTCTCATGGAGAAGGTGCCTTTTGCTATTGCTCCTCCCAGAGGAGGTGCCTTTTCCTGTTTAGCTCAAAGGTGCCTAATGGTAGTTGGTGACCTTGGGTGTAGGATCCCTGTGGTGCAGAGCCTTTGTGAGGGCAGCCTGGTGGTGGGGTGGAGGGCAGCGGACCTCCTGGCTCCGGAGTCCAGCGGGGAGCCTTGGTTGTCTACTTTGGATGACTGACTGCCCCCTCCTCACCCTTCCCAGGGTGTGTTCATTTTCAGTGCTGTGCAGATGACTCCTCTCACCATGGGGAGCTATGTGTTCCCCAAGTGGGGCCAGGGCGTGGGCTGGCTCATGGCTCTCTCTTCCATGGTCCTCATCCCCGGGTACATGGCCTACATGTTCCTCACCTTAAAGGGCTCCCTGAAGCAGGTAAGTTCCTTCTCCACCCTACAAATGGCTAGTCCCCTTCCTCCACTGTGCTGGGCACATCCCCTACCTGTGTGGAGCTCAGTCTAGCTGGGGAGACAGATAAATCAATAGCTTATGACAATAGAGGGTTAGAAGTGCCTTGACCAGAGTAAACCAGGAAGATGAGATAGCCATGCCTGGGTTGAGGAGGGTTAAGGAAGGCTTTTGAAAGAGGGGATAGCTAAGAAGAGACCTAAGGATGAGCCCAAGTAAAAAGCAGAAGCAAAAAGAATGCTCCTAGAAGAGGATGGGAAGTATGTGCAAAGGCCCAGGGGTATAAACTGCATTCAGTGGACTGTGGAGAGATCAGTGTGGCTGGAGGGTGCTGTCGGGGGTGTGTGTGTGTGGAGGGAGTGGTAAGAGGTGAGGTTGGGACACAAGGTTGGGCCAGATCAAGAAGGGCTTTGAAGATCAGGACAAGAGCTTTGGACTATATACTGAAGGCAGTGGGGAGCCATCAAGAGTTTGAAGCAGATAAAGGATGGTTTATTGAGGACTTACTCTAGACCTCATTTGTAGGCTTGGTGAAGAGAAAATGTGGTCTTGCCCTCGAGGAAAGACAGAGCATGGAAGATGTGCTGCCCCCACCAGGGCCAGCCTTTGTGAGGGCAGCCTGGTGGTGGGGTGGAGGGCAGCGGACCTCCTGGCTCCGGAGTCCAGCGGGGAGCCTTGGTTGTCTACTTTGGATGACTGACTGCCCCCTCCTCACCCTTCCCAGGGTGTGTTCATTTTCAGTGCTGTGCAGATGACTCCTCTCACCATGGGGAGCTATGTGTTCCCCAAGTGGGGCCAGGGCGTGGGCTGGCTCATGGCTCTCTCTTCCATGGTCCTCATCCCCGGGTACATGGCCTACATGTTCCTCACCTTAAAGGGCTCCCTGAAGCAGGTAAGTTCCTTCTCCACCCTACAAATGGCTAGTCCCCTTCCTCCACTGTGCTGGGCACATCCCCTACCTGTGTGGAGCTCAGTCTAGCTGGGGAGACAGATAAATCAATAGCTTATGACAATAGAGGGTTAGAAGTGCCTTGACCAGAGTAAACCAGGAAGATGAGATAGCCATGCCTGGGTTGAGGAGGGTTAAGGAAGGCTTTTGAAAGAGGGGATAGCTAAGAAGAGACCTAAGGATGAGCCCAAGTAAAAAGCAGAAGCAAAAAGAATGCTCCTAGAAGAGGATGGGAAGTATGTGCAAAGGCCCAGGGGTATAAACTGCATTCAGTGGACTGTGGAGAGATCAGTGTGGCTGGAGGGTGCTGTCGGGGGTGTGTGTGTGTGGAGGGAGTGGTAAGAGGTGAGGTTGGGACACAAGGTTGGGCCAGATCAAGAAGGGCTTTGAAGATCAGGACAAGAGCTTTGGACTATATACTGAAGGCAGTGGGGAGCCATCAAGAGTTTGAAGCAGATAAAGGATGGTTTATTGAGGACTTACTCTAGACCTCATTTGTAGGCTTGGTGAAGAGAAAATGTGGTCTTGCCCTCGAGGAAAGACAGAGCATGGAAGATGTGCTGCCCCCACCAGGGCCCACTAGTACCATCTAGGTTAAAATCATATCGAATTCTTGAGTGCAACAAGGTAGCGCTGGGGACATGCAGGTGTTAGAGACATTGATGGAACAGGTGTAGGCTGAGAAGATTTCAGTGAGGAGGGTGGAGAATCAGAATATGGAGTGAAGCTGAGTAAGAGTGAATCAGAGTAAGTGTGAAGCTGACGAGGCCTTGGCTCAATGATTCGCAACCTTATATCCACCAAGATGTACCTTCTGGACCCACTGGTGCTGTATGGTCTGTGGCATAAGGAAGTCACAGGGTTGGGGGTTGGGTGGGGGGGGTCTGTGTGCGGCCCTGGGCCAGACCCCTACTTTCGCAGATGGAAAAGCTGAGGTCCAGTGGAAAAACCCCTTTAACCATACTTGCCATGGTAAGTGCAACCATTTACCCAACCATTAGTGGAGCTGGGGCACAAGTAGCCCTTTGAACTCCAGGTCCAAAGCTTTCATTTTTCACAATCCTCTGCTGAGCCTCAAAAGGCAATTAGGTCTTAGAGTGGCAGAGGGCAAAGGGACTGCATCTGAGGGAGGGATAAAGCCTTTGCAAAGGCCCAGTGGTGTGAAAGGGTGAGGCACATCTGAAAACAGTGCATTTCCTGAAGGGGCAGGATTTCAGGGGATGTATGTAGAGAAAGTAATGGGGGATCCATTCAGCAAGTATGTACTGAATACCTACTATGTACTAGACAGTACTGTCAGTGCACAGGACACACAGACAGCCATCAACAAAATCAACATCCACCCTCATGGAGCTTACATTCTAGTAGAGGAAGATCAACAATTAACAGAATAAAAACTTGTTAGATGGGGATGAGTGCTATGGAGATAAAGTAGGAAGGGGGCTTAGGGAGTGCTGAGCAAGGCCTTGCTGAGAAGGGAACCCTGAGCCACGGCCTAGGGAGGTAGAGATTGAGCTCTGAGAGGAAGGATGTACCAGACAGATGGTGCAACACGTGCAAAGGCCCTGCAGCTGTCACGTGCTTGGCATGTGTAAAGAGGCCAGCTGTGGCTGGAGTGGAGTAAGTGAGGGTAGCAAGGGGTGGGGCTGCTGAGCTGTGAGATGACAGGGGCCAGATCACGTGGGGCCTTGTAGGAACTTTGGTGAATGGAAGCCACTGTTGCATCCTGAGGAATGGAGGGACATAGCTAACTTTGGTTTGAATGTAAGCCCTCTGGCTGCTATGTTGAGATAGAAGGGGATGATGGGCAAGGAGAGAAGTAGGCCAGTTATTGCAGTACCCCAAACGAGAGGCACTGTGGCTGGCCCAGGTAGGTGCAGTGAGGCTATGGAGGGTGTAGTTTGAAGGCAGAGCTGGCAGGACTGTCTTGAAAAGAGGGTGCGGGGACAGAGCGGCCAGTCCTCCTTATCCCGGCCTGCTTTTCCCTGGTGCCCACAGCGCATCCAGGTCATGATCCAGCCCAGCGAAGACATTGTTCGCCCAGAGAATGGTCCAGAGCAGCCCCAGGCCAGCAGCTCAGCCAGCAAAGAGGCCTACATTTAGGGGTGCTGGGCAGCTCGCTGACCCAACGTTCTCACCCCCCAATCCGGCTGACCATGACTACCACTTGATGTGTGAAGATAGCGTCTATCTCAACCTACCTCGAGTGGCGAGTCCAGACACCATCAGCACGCGGAAAGGGGAGGTGGGGGACAGTCACACCCCTGGTGGGCCCCGCCAAGGGCAAAGATACCTGATGGCTCCAACACCTGCAGGCTGGTGACCTTTTTAGTCCCGGCCCCACAAGCATCAAGCAGTCGGCATTGGTGACTGCCGAGGTAGATCATTTTTATCCTGCCAGCCAGTGTGACGCGGTGAAGCCACACACTCCTGGCTTTTAGTCGTATACCTGACTGTTCTCCTACTGCCAAAACCCATGACTGTTATCTTGGACTCTGCAGGAGTTCAGTTCTGTCGGAACGCTGCTCTGTACATGTGAAAAGGGCATTTTGTATAATGGGGATGTCCAGGGAGAGCTCATTCTTTAAGTAGCAGGGAGCCAGTGGAGCTCTTACTTTGATTTTTTTGTTTTTCCTTCCCGAGGCAGCTTGACAAAACTACTGCACCCCCCCGCCCCTCCCCGCAAGGACCTCAGTATTCCAGAGCTGCTTTTCAAGCAGTCTGCATGGTGTCCTTTTTCCCTGCCACCAGCTGAATGAGCAGCTCTGTAGCTAAGGTTCCCTGTCCCTCCTCGCCGGGTCATTCTAATTGCATCCGGCCCAACAGCGATCATTCCAGACGGGCCCTGCTCACTGGAAAGCTGCCACAGCACAGTTGATTTTTTTATTGCCATTTCAGGGGCTTAAGATCCTGCTGGGGTAATTCCCTGATCAGGAGCCCCAGTTTCTCTAAGGCTGCCCAGTTTCATGGAGCACAAAACAGGTGCAGAGGAAATCAAGGTAAAGGTTTGTCTGTCCTTGAGTCAAAACGGACCCACTTATCTTTCAGTCTCCCTCTTAAAAACTCCCTCACTGCCACTCCAGGCAAAGCTGCTGCCTTCTCACCTTCTTGGAAATTCCTCAGTGGGAAACTCACTGCCACTAAAATCTACCCAGCCCCTTAACTGAGGACCTAGTGTTAATCCAGAGTCCCCACCCCCACCCCAAGTGCTTCCAAGACTAAAACTGCTTCATGGGTAAGTAGTATTTGTTCCTTCCAGAACTTCCAGAACTGGGCTCCACTGTGGTGGTGGCAGATTGGGCAAAGACAGTTTCTCGCAAGCTTCAGTAACTCAGCGTTTCTCATTTGCCAGGAAGATGGGTTCCCGTGTAGCAAATCCTCTGTTGTGCCCTGTAGCTCCTTAGCTAGTTAGCTCACAAACTGTGTTTGATGACTAATCCTTAATAACTAAGGTAAATAACTGTGACTGTGGGTTTTTTAATCTCTTGTCATTGTCATCCAAAAGTGACCAGCATACCAGTTCTTGCAATAAGGTATTACCCTCAGAATATTAAGCACATTATTGTAGAGAAAACAAAAAGTACATGTACACATGTAAGTGCACACACACATGTACATTCATCCTCATGCGTGGTTATAGGGTCTCATTTGATATTGTGTAGGAAAGCTAACACCTTTTCCTGCGGCCATCTGTAAAATAGACTCATCGCTAAGGCATCTGGTGAATCCATGATCAAAATGCATATGTGTTGTTAAATTAGGGTTTAGAATGAAAGGAACCCTTCACTGTGTCTCATGGCCCTACTCCCAATCCTGTGTGAATTCCTTTAGAATAAGGACAGAGAGACTTCTAACTTCCTCTTTGTTCTTCAATGTGAAACTAAGGCCAAGTCTTTCTAAGACAAATGCAGTGTATCTAATGTTTGTAAGCAAATCTAAGTGAGATGTTTGGCAAGAAATCCCCTAACTGATTTCCATCCAAACCTTCTTATATAGCACAGTATTACGTGTCGTACAATTACTGTGATAACCGTGAATATGTGTACCTTTTATAGTATTTGCCTGGCAGGGGGAAAAGATAATTGTATTATCATATATGCTTTTTTTTGCAATAAGGATTTATTCTCAGAACACCAAGTAAATCTATCTCTATATAAAAAATATATGTAATATATACATATTCAAATATATACAGAGCCTGTTTTAAAAAGAAATCAACAGTATTATTTAGTAAAATTATCTGTTCTATGGACCAAATGTAAAATATTTATAAATGAAGATGCATTTTAAAGGTCTATAAATGGTGTCAGAATTAGAGCACGGGTGTTATGTACGTTTCTAAGAATTTAGAGGAAAAATAATAAAGGTTCTATGATATACAATGTCAGACCTTCAATTCTTTGGGGTGGGGGGCACAATAGCCTCTTTCATCAGAACAATAACACATATACACAAAACTATTTCTTCCCCAGCAGATAAAGAGATTTGGTCTCAAAATCCGGCGCAATAGAGCTAGACTTCCCCAAAGTCCTAGATGAGTGGTTAGAAAGTGACTCTGCGTGGCATAAGGTAGGTGTTTTCACTGTTCTAAGAAACTTTAATACGATCAACTAAATAAAGGTCTAAAACTAGGATAATAGGAGTACATTTAGTTAGCAAGGGTAGTCATCGATTTATTCCTGAAAATATCATTTGTTCAATCTTATTTAGAAAATTTCAAATTCCACAGAGAATTTGTAAGAATGGCTCCATGGGCACCAGATTCACCAGTTGGTGATGTAGTGGCTTTAACTCTGTCTCACAGTCCCTTTAACTCTCAGTTGCTTTATCTCACTCAGTTAGGGTTCAGTTGGGGAAGCAGAACCACTACTAGAGTTATGGAATAAGGGATTTATTACACAACTGTTGGGGAAGTCGGGAAGAAAGAGTCTGAAAAAGCTGGGAGATCAGAGCAGTCACTAACCAGAAGAGGTACACACAATATGTGTGTCCCCCAAAGTTCCTTGCTGCCCCTTTTGCATGGAGTATTCATGATGCCCTTGAGCACAGAATTCCAGAGGACCCACCATGCCTGGGAGATGAGTGAGACTCAAAGCCACCACAGGTAAGCATGTTAAGTCTCTAACTGAGTAAGCAGGGTCTCTGCGAGGCCACACTCAAGCCAGAAGTTGCTTCCAATGCAGAAAGAAGGCCATGGTATTCTAAGAAACACCCAACACCCAGGGACCTCCCTCACATCCTTACTGAAGCTACTTCCCTGTATAAGCCAACCATTTGGTGCCACAGAAACAAAGGGAAAGATAGGGCAATCCACACTTTCTTTTCTTTACTCATCAGTAAGCTGAAAGTAGCGAGTATTGGCAGAGTGTGTGCATATCAAGAAGTGAAATTAAAAACAACTTAGTTTTTGCGCAGGTTTCTACTGTTCTGGTAAGAACAAAATGTGTGGGCACATACAAGTCTCGAAATGCATATTGTGTAATTCACATACAAATTAAATACTCATTCACATTTGCATACTAGAAAAATGAAGAATAAAATACACGCTGAAGGTGTAGATTTTAGGTTTTCCTTTATTTAGAAAGATATTAAATAGCACTTTTTAAAACCATCATGACCAATTAAGAGAAAGACCATGGAAGCAAGGAGAACCATGATATTTTGTAGTACTTTCAACGGCACGTCTTTCCTGCTTTTTGTACAAGGGGTCCTGAATTTTCCTTTTACACTGGAATCTACAAATGAAGTAACCAGCCCAGGGGAAAGTCTAAGGAAGGCTGTTGCCATGGCATAGCTCCCAACTCTGGATGTCTGGTGGATGACCTGCAGCCCCTGGGCAGCAGGGCATGGGACAGGGGAAACCAGGGATAAGCTGGACCCCTCCTGCACCTCTGAGCACATGCTCTCTCCCTGCATCTGTCCCTGAAGACCTTCAGAGAGTAATGGTCCTGCTTTGCTTCTGCCTTCAAAATCTGGGGCAAATGTTGCTTTTGGCCAGCTCTCACCCAGAACCATACAGAGAAGGGGATTCTGAGAAATGTAGCTTAACCAAGTAGACATTATAATACAACTGCCTCCTCTCTTTCTCTCTCTCTCACATATACACACAATAATAATGAGATGATGATGATGATGGTATTGCTAAACTATCTGAGAGTAATTTGATGTTTAGATATTGATACTCTTAAAACAGGATCATGTCTCCTCTAAGACAGAGGATACCCCCTTATATAGCCACAGTGCATTTATCAAATTCAGTAAATGTCACACTGTTACCACACTGCTATCTAATCTACAGTCCATATTCAAATTCTCCAACAATACCCTTTATAGCAATTGTGGCCTGATCTAGAATCATGCATTGCATTTAGCTGCTGTGTCCCTTGGCAAATATTTTTGAGGACATACCACTTGCCAAGCAGAAGTGACACAGCCAGCCTTTGCTCCCACCCGCAACACTTCTCTCATCTCTGGATCAAGTAGGAAAGGCCTCTCTCTGCCACTGTCTGCTCTCCTGAGAAACAGGAGATGCTATGGGCATCTCAAAACAGAATGAAAGCAGAGTTTGATTAAGGAAGCCGCCTCCTGGGGGACAGGGGGCAGCATCACTTCTTGCTCTGGCAGCTTCTCCTTCCCTGTCTCCTCTCCGAGGCTGATGGCTGCAGCTCTTCCTGGTCCTTCTTCCCTAAACCATAAGCACTTGAAGCCCAAATAGGAGAAAAGAAAATCCAAAATATGAACCATACCTGTCAGATGTGGCCATAGTCATTTCCTATTGGCCACCCACTCCAGCTCCTACACCAAGGTGCTCCCCAGGACCCTCCAAAGGAAACGGGTCAGAGGGCTCTGGCTGGGAAGAATCTTAAAGTTCATCTGGTTCTATTCAAAGTTTGAACTGTTTCTAGGCACTCACTTGGCTTCTCTAACTGCAATGTCAATACAAATTGCCTAGGAGACCTTGTCACAATCATTCCCTGTGCTTGGAATACTGCTCGGGGGGCTGCAGGGTCACCAGGAGGCACCTGAGTCGGCCTGAAGGACAGGGCTGGCTTAGTGGGGAAGGAACCACCTAAGCTAGTAATCAAAGGAAGACTTAGCCATGGGACTTTGGACCAGCTATAGCCCCATTCCTGCCCAAAGATGAGGAAGACTTGAAAGGGACCCAGGGGGAAGAGTAAGCAAAGGCCCAGCGCCTTGGACCACAGAGGCACAGGCAGAAAAGCACTTGCAGTTCTACATGAGGGGTCTGGGGACACATTCTGCCCCTGGCCTGCCTTTCCTTCAGATGTCCTCAAGGATGGTTCTTTCCATTTATTCAGACCACTGCTCAAATGTCACCTTCTCCCAGTGGCCTTCCCTGACTACCATAGCTAAAGTAACACCCTCCCCCATCTCTCTCTGCCCCTAACTCTGCTTTATTTTTTTTTATTCTCAACATTTCTATGTTTATTAATTTATTGTCTACCTCCCTCCACTATATAGGAAGCTCTGGGAGGATAGGGCCATTTTCTAGTTCACTTCTGGGTCCTAAATGCCCAAAACAGTGCCTGACACACAGAAGGAGCTGGATGGATGGATGGATGGATGGATGGATGGATGGATGGATGGATGGATGGATGGATGGATGGATGGATGGATAGATGAATACATGGATGGATGAACAAGGAATAAGACTGTAACAGCCATCAAGGTCACTGGCTTTGGAGTCAGACAGCCCTTGATGTGAGTTCTGGCTCTGCTGCTCTATCTACATGCAACTCTGAGCATGTTACTTAAATGTCTTTGTGCCTCAGTTTCCTCACAAAATTGTGGTTAAAGTGAAATGAGCTAAAACAAGGAAGCAGTGCCTGGCCCAAAATGAGCATGCAAGGAACAGCACGTGTTATTAGAGCAATTATTCCCAAGATGTTCCCTTAGAAGGAACTCTAGTCAGGGTCCTTCCTCCACCCAGAGCCCTGCGTTTTGAAGGATTTTGTCTATCAAACTGTCACTTAATAATTAAGCCCCCCTTTTTATGAATCAGATGTGGTGGCTAATTACAGCTCCTGATTAGCATGAGGTAACCAGGGTGATGGCACTGAGCTGATAACATTCCAGACAAAAGCAAAGCAATGTGGTATTTTGGGCACCCTGACGATGGGTAATTATGTAATTTCCACTGGGCTCTGGGTAATATGGAAAAAGAGGCCCCATCAGTCTCTCCAGGGACCCTCACAGGTTCAGCGCCTCAGGTCGGGTCTGTGTCTCCATTAGTTCACAAAATATTTGGCTGAAGACTTTGTATTTCTCCTATTTAAAATCAGCTATACAAATTGCTTTGAGGAGCAAACTTCCAGGCGGGCTGAATTCATAGAAAAGATCCCAAAATGGTTTACAGTCTTGAAACTCAAATTGTGAGCACATCTTTCTTCTTCAGATAAACTTACAGCAATGAAACTGCTGAGTCAATTTTTAAGGGCTGTGCATTTTTAAGGCCACTCATACCTAGTGCTAACTTGTCTTCCAGAAAAATTGTGTCTTATTTTCATTTCCTCCCCTCACAATTACTGGCTGTGATAATTCTCTTATATCCCACGTCTTGTTATTTTCAAAAATGATTTCCAGTTTCACAGCCAAAGATATTGTAATATTTGAAGCGTATGTGTCTTTGAATTTCACTGATGCTGATCTTTTTTCATGTGTTTTCTGGCCTTTTGTATTTATTTTGTGAATTTCCTGTTCATAGATATTTTGTTTTTTGTATCTTGTTTGGAAGAGATTTGTATATATTGAAGATATCAACACTTGATCTTATGTATGTTGAAAATACACATTAAAGCTGAGGCAAGTAATGTAACTGTAGGTGTAGCTGTAGGTGAAGGTGTGGATGTAGGTGAAGGTGTAGATGTAGGTGAAGGTGTTGGTGTAGGTGAAGGTGTAGGTGTAGGTGTAGATATCTTCTCCCAAAGAAGTCTCCTTCCCGTTTTCCTGTGTTCCAATTTCTGTCTTCTCTAGCTTCAACCCTTTTATTGTTTTAGATGGCTTTTGAGCTAAAGGCCAAATAACCATTTTTTTCCAGCCACCTCCTTTTCCGATCCTGTGTCGGTCTTACCCCTTGTGCAGTGAGAACGTGGGAGTCACTGCCACCTATTGCTACACCTTCCTCACAGGGTTGAGGATTAATGACTTAATAGGTGGAAAGTGCTTAGACAGGGGCCTGGTACATACCAACGCTCAGGTCAAGCCTTTCTGATGACGGACTTCCTGGGACCCTGCCACAGCACCAACGCATCATCCCTCTCTGTCCTCACAAACCATCCCTTTTGTGGTCCGCTTAGAACCTTCCTCAGGCTCACTGAGCTGTTGTGGGGCTGCTTGGAGAAAATGCCCAGTTGGGC